AGGACTGGAGGATCAAGCCAGGCTTCTCTAGTGCTGGGTGGTGCCTGTTACTGGCCCATCTTGGTGCCAGCCTCAGAGCCATCACTCCTGTTTTCCCTGCCCTGCCTGCTTCAGGCAGCCAAGCACTGCAGATGCAGCACTGAGGGTAAGCTGTGCAGGAAAATGTCCCACCAGGGCGGCTGTGGGGTGCATGACAGGACTCAGAGAGCTGGGAGGGTGGCCTTCCCCAGGAGCCTGGCCATTTCATCCTCCCTGCCCCAGAACAGCTGATGACCATGGCCTCTCCCTCCTGCAGGAGGTGGCAGCAGTGGGGGAAAACAGCCGCTGATCCTTATCTCTCCACAGCGTGCTGAAGAGCACAAAAATGTCCACAGAGACTGACAGCAACTGCCCCATCTGCCAGGACACTTTTAAGGATGTGGCTTCTACTTTGCCCTGTCACCACCAGTTTTGTCTGGGCTGTATCCTGCGGTGGACACAGAGAAATCCAGTGTGCCCACTCTGCAGAGGAGCAATAGTGACTGTGCGATTTTCTGATCATGGAGAAGACGACTATCTGGAGATACCCATCACAGTCCCTGAGGAGCTGCCAGATGGCAGCAGCCAGGCAGAGAGAGCTCCTGGCTCTCTGGATGAGAACAGCTCCCATCCTCCTGTGGTGTCCCCTTCATCTTCTCCACAGGGGACAGTGTCTCCAGCAGAGCAGGAAGGTTCAGGGCTGGAGTTTGCGGGGAGTGTCCTGCCTGAGGTCTGGGCAGAAACTTTCCGTCAACAACAGCATCTTCTGGACTCTGTGCGGCCCTGGCTGCATGAGAGGCTGGCAGGAATATACCAGGGCTGGTGGTGGGTGGTAGATGCCATAGAGAGCAGCATCTTGCATGGCCTTTGCATCCACGGGCCAAATGCTGGGGTTCTGGTTGAGGTGCTGCAGCCTCTCCTCGAGGAACACACAGCACCACTGGTCCATGATGTCATCAGCATCATAATAGGCCAGCACCGTGAGGAGGCCCAGAGGCTTCTGCACACAGAAGATGGGAACAATGGCCCTGAGGCCAGCTCCAGCTCCAGCTCCACCAGTTCCAGCTCCAGCTCCAGCTCCAGCAATTCCAGGATCTCCAGCTCCAGCAACTCTAGGAGTTCCAGCTTCAGCAGCAACAGCTGCAGCTCCAGCTCCAACAGCTGCAGCTCCAGCTTCAGCAGCAACAGCTGCAGCTCCAACAGCTGCAGCTCCAGCTCCAACAGCTGCAGCTCCAGCTTCAGCAGCAACAGCTGCAGCTCCAGCAGTTCCCAGCAAGGGACTCCCGACAGCAGCCCCACAGGCTCCGATGAGGAGGAGGAAGCTGGTGCATCAGAGGCTTCCCCCTGCCCAGGGCATCAATTGCATCTGCTCCCAGGGTAGGGACTGATTGTGCACTGGGCCCCCACATGTCTGACAAAAGAAGGAGCCCAGGCCCTAGAACTCTCCCTAGGCCTGCCAGAGGCTGCTCCACCAGTAGCTCTAGCAGGGCTCTTGCAAACCTTTTTCAAGGAGAAGGAAATAAATTGTGATTTCCCTCAGAAAATCTCTGGGTACTGCTGTGGGCGGCACTCAGGCACTGGGGGGCACAGCCATGGGGTCCCAGAGCCATATGGCCATGGCAGCAGCATCTCTTCCCACAGCTTCTGCTGCAGCTGCACACCCACAGAGCAGCAGAAGCCATAGGCACAGCAGGCATCAGGGGCAGCTGGTCCTGCCACAGGACCATGCCCTCAGCCTGCCTCTATATTTTCTCTTACCTACCCACTTGGCAGAGGGGAGTGATAGAGTGGCTTTGCTGGGTGCCTGGACAGGGTCCATGCAGGGTCAGTCTCTTGCAGCACGGGTGGCTGCAACAAACCTTTTCAGGGCAGAGGGTGGAGAAAATAAATAGGGATGGGTATGATTGTGTGACCACAAAAAAAAAGATCTTTAATAAGCAAAATAACAAACACATAATCCAAACACATATGGGGATGCACACAAGAGTCGAGGGACAGGGTAACACAGTAACTTATATAAACCAAGGTAGGGGCGGCATCTGAGGGAAAGGGACCAAAAAAAGCTGAGGATTAGGAATATGTAAAATAATGCACCAAATCTTAACCAGTGATAACAAAGCAACATTTACATAAAACTAAACAGGGGGCAATGTGGGTGATACTTTACTCTCCACAACTACATGGCCTTCAGTCAAGGTTTTTACCCACCCCAACATAAATCCACCAGATTTTTCACATTTTGTCCTGTATTGACTACCCCAAGGGCTACTGCATAAACAGTTTAATTTGTTTAGGACCCCACTTAAAATTATTCCTCTAAGTCACATCTGACTCTACTCTGCAATATGCATTCTCCAAAAACCCAGGGGGCCTAGGAAACTTCCCTCTTGCTCAGTCAGTGGGGACAGATCTGCTATTTTGTTGACTGAATTCATTGGAATCGCATGATATCCATCTTGATATTTTACTCCCAGAAGATGAATTTCCTGGGAAGCTCCCTTGACCTTACTTTGTTTTATGACAAAACCAGCTTTCAGGAGGATCTGGATTATCTTCTCTCCTTTCCAAAAACTTGCCCTTCTGTGCTGACTCATACAATGATGTTGTGGATGTACTGCAAATGTTCTAGAGCCTCACCCTTTTCCAGTGTCATGATAAATACTGGGGCTGTGTTTCCAGCCCCGGGGCTATACTGGATTCCTGTGCACCTGCAAACTGCACCTGCACTCACCTGATGAAGTAATGGAGAAACATGTACCAGTTATGTCTATGGTGCTGTGGACTCCAGTTTACACTGAACTTTGTGCACGCCCAGCATGGCAGCACTCGGTGATGGTGTGTTGTGGTTTTAAAGCACAAGCTAAAAAAAAAAAGACTAAAAAACTTACTTATTTCTTGCTGTGAGATATGGATTAGGGGATGGGCAAAACACACTTAAAAGGAATAAAGAAAATTTATTAACAAAACTACAAGAATAAGAAACCAGAATAAAAAAAACTTCTTCCCCACCACTCAACTTTTTTTTGTCCAACTGACAACTTAGAGACAAAACTTGGTGGTTAAAGCAGTCACAACTACATAGTACATAGTATCCTTTTCATCAGTCTTCGTAGAGAAAAAGAAGTTCTCTTCTGTCATTCTATGGAGAGTTCTTGACAAGAAAACATGACTTTCTTTTCTCATGACTTTCTATTCTTCTGATGCCAGCCATACGGAAACTCTGCCATCAGGTTCTTCTCCCAATTGACACCACTCAGAGGTGTGTTCATGGGCCATGAACTCAAGGGATGTCATTTTAAGGATGAGTCATTCAAAGGCAAAGGTTCTCTTCATCTGTCTCTGTGAGCCTCTCTGGAAACAGAAGTTTTCTCTTTTTCCTCTTGGGGGCCACAAGTCTTCGGCAACTCTCACTTCTCTTTCTCTGTTCCAGCATTTCATGAGATCACAACTACTTCACCATCTGCTCAGCTTCATCAATGGATTACTTTTGCTCAGATCTATGCTTTGAAATACTTCATACCCCTTTGAAATACTCTTTCATGAATTAAAGGAGTTTTTTTCACTACATTATTGTCCATCTCCATAACCTTAACAAAAGAATATTTCTGCTTATTAGTGCATCTCCTCATTCTCTTCCCATCTGAGGCTTGATCCTTTCTTTTACTGACTTGGATGGTTTATGTTGTCTCTTTACATGTGAATCACTCTCACTTTCCTCTCTCTGGAAAAGGATTAAATCTGCAGGTCCCATCTGGGTAATAAAAGGGTTAAAATCTGGCTCAAGCCTTGTGGGTGGCTACCTGATCTCTGTTGGGCAGAGGCTGCGGCTGTTTGTGATGGAGAATTTTCGGTGGCTGCTCTGGGGGAGTGTGGTCAGCATCTCAGCATGCTGCAGGCTGATGACTTTCCCTCCCCTTCCTCAGCAGTCTCTGGTGAAACTCAGCAGTGGCAGAAACTGCAGCTGAGCCAGGAACCGGCCTGGCCCGGCAGCCCCCCTGTACAAGGCTCAGCGAGCCCTGCAAGGGGTTCAGCCCCTCTGAGAAGGGGCTCCTGTCTTCACAGTCTCCATCCCCCCCTGGGAACCGCACAACTCCGGCCAGCCCCGCTCCCCCCGCGGCCTTGTCCCGCCTGGGGGGGAGGAGGCTGAACCAGAGCCCTGTTACCTTTCACAGCCGGAAACAAAGAGAACAGAAATTCTCAGGCTTAGGTTTTAAAGGGTGGTGTTCACAGGTTGATCTCACTTTTCAATGATCAAAACTACTGTCAATTCTCAGAAATGGCCAGCTATCGGCCAGGAGAAAAATACTCCCATCAGCCTCCAGCAGCCTTAACTTCTGTGGGTGTTTTCTACTTTTTTTCTTAAATGCCAATCCGTCACATGGTGTGACTTCATTCAGGCCATGATACTCCACTGTCAGTCTCCACTCTCCCTTAGACTTATTCACAGGCCATATGGGACTGCAAAGGCTCGCAAGTCTTGCTGACCACTCCTGGGTTCTCCAGTTCACAAACCATCTCATGGATGGGGGTCACACAGTCCCAGCTGAGGTAGTATTTTTGACAATGCACTCTTGTGGTAGCGATCGGTACCTGTTGTTCTTTGACCCTCAGCAGCCCCACAGCAGAAGGGTCCCCTGAGGCACCAGGGACCAGCTCTCTAATTTCCTCTGTCTCCACAGCAGCTATCCCAAAAGCCCAACGATGCCCTTCTGGGTCCTTGAAACATCGTCTCCTGAAGTACTCTATGCCGAGGATACACAGGGCCTCTGCGCCAGTGGCGTTTTATCATTTGTGGCTGTTTGAGCTGAAGGCTCTCTTCAGCTTGCAGTGCAGGCAAGCATCCCAATCTTTTGGGATTCCCTGTCACCCCAGGAACAGAGATGGATTCTGCCCCTAGACAGCTCTGTGGCATCAGGGTACATTTTGCACTGCTGTTGACCAAAGCCACCTGCTCTTGTGGGTCCAAAGTGCCAGGCCATCAATCCACACAGTCCAAGAGAGCTGAATGTCCCTTTCCTCCACTCAGGTGGACACAGAACCCCTCTAGTCCTGGTCATAGTACTGTTATAAATTCAACGGCAGATTAAAGATTAAAAAGATAAATTTATTATAAATTAATAAAACAACAAAACAGCGAGGAAAAACCACAATAAATGGACAGCGCAGCGCTGGGTGGACAGGGTCTATACGCAAGGTATAGGTGTTCCCAAATCCACGTCTGAGGGTTCTTTGGCCTGGGTTTTTATAGGGATTTTATGTCTCCAGGCTAGAATTCCAACCAGTTTCCATTCACCAAGTGTCCCTGATTGTCGGGTGAATGGATTTCCTGGCCTAGAACATTGAGTCAGTAAGTGTCCGGGCAGAGTCTCCTCAAATGCAAAGTGAGTCTGTATGTATTTTAACATATTTCATCACAGCAGAGTCGAGGGATCCGGGCTAGTGCTGATGGATATCTCGGAGGAGTAGTCTCTTCTTTGTCCTTCTTGATTGAGTTTCTTTAGCATAGGTTTGGCGGGTGTGGTGTTCAATTCTGGCAACGACCATTTTCCTGAGGCTCGTCCCTTTTGTCTTGCTTGATGGTCTCCGGGCCGAAATCGGCCGGGCGTTGCCTTTGTCCGGAGGTAGACTTTCAGGCTAGTTCTTTTGTTTCTATGATGGTCTTTGTCCTGTCCTTTCCTCCGAGTTGATGAGCCTGCTGAGGTTTGTTATCTGGGGGGGGTTCTTTTGCAATCCGTGACTTTGGAAAAGGAATTCTACCTCGACCTGGAGGAGAATTCCTTATTCCATATTTTCATTAGTTATAATTACACATACTTTATTTAAACCTTTTCTTCCGAATTTTTATTCACCCAATTCTTTATTACAGTACTCATTGCTTCACTTCTAATGAATACGAACTGGAAGTGCCTACAAGAAGATCTTCTATTCGGAGAACTTGCCCACTGGAAACCAGAGCAGATTTATCCCTGCAGAATTTCCTGTGCTGGTGTCAGAGACTGGAAAGATCGATGTCTTGAGAGCTTCTGGGACACGCGTGTGGAGGGGAAAAGGTCAGGCCTTCCCCGGGCAAGGCAGTGAACTACCTCACATTTGCCAAAGGGCCTGTATCCCAGCCTGGCTGAGCTGCCAAGTACTGACACACTAGAGGAAATGCTCCGCTCTCCACCCCTGGAGCCCCTGACCCAGCTTCTGTGTGGCCAAATGACCAGAAGTCCCACCTGGGGGGTAGGCCCATGGAGGCTGAAGGATGTTTAAGGCTCAGCATGAGGCCACATGTCCTGGTACTACTTTCATCTTGAAGTATCTATCTGAACACCACTGGAACTCAGGAGTTTGTATCTTTATGCGTGCTTTTATGTATCTTTTCTCTCTTTTTCTTCTTCTAATTCCTCTTCTTGGAGTAACATCATTTTGAGTAGTTTAACATCAAACAAATTTGAAGTTCGTGAAGTGGAATGGGTCAAGTCAATGCTCTGAGAAGTGTTTTATGTTGATTGGATGCTGTACCAAACCTTTTGCCAAAGCTCACTGATTTTCTAAAGTTTTCCAGTAAAGTTGTTTGGACCCCTCAAGAATCTATTTTTGTTTTTTCTCCCATGCATTTAACCCAGAGTACAAGAACCATTTTAACATAATCCCTTTCAAAATGCCCTTTTAGCAAGTAGCTTGGGACTTTACAGATGGTTGTTCTTCCTCTCAACCCTCACAAAATACCTTTCTTTGCTTTTTCTGTGGAATTCCAGCCTTCAGCCCTCGTTTGGTTACCCTTTTGCTAAGGACAGATTCAGCATTATAGTCCAGCCCTGATGGGAAGATGAATATATACCTTTGAATCAGCTCCAGCCAAGCTCCACAAGTCAAACAGGCAGATACATTTCACCAAAAAAGAACATCTCAAAAAGCAAAGGACAGTTCTCTTTTCTTCATCTAGATTAGGATATACATCAGACATGAATGTTAGTTTCTTAAGATGAACTCAGTAACACGACATGAACTTGAAATCAACACTGTCACCATCAACAAAATAAAACTGCATCCGGGAAGGAAAATTTAATTGGTTTAGAAGCACATACTGCAAAGGCAGAACAACATCATACATTAACATTTCACACATACATTTAAGTATGGGACTTAGAGCACCAAACAGTGCAGCTCTTTGTGTCAGAGACTGCCCTTAAGCATTTTCATACCACCATTCACAGCAATTCAATCCTGATAGCAGTGGCTCAGCTTTACTACAGCCTGCAACATAAAGACAAGATCACTGAAACGTTGAGACTCAAATAAAACAGTAAGAAAAGCAACCCAAATTGAAAACAGTAAAAATTAGAAGCAAGAAATAAATAGAGATCCTTGATGCACCAACTTCAGGACACAGAAAATCTTTTTAGTAATGGATTGCCTACACCTACAATACGTCTTTCTTAATGCTATATTAACTGGATATTTATACACAAAAGTGACTGACTACATCACTAAATCCATTTTTATGCTACTACAAGAAAAACTCCAGCTTCCATTATTTCATGGAATCTTTTCTATTTTAAAGCAGCACAATGACAGTCTCCTATTCAAAACTCTATGCTAGCTATTCATAAACCATTGGGAAAGAAAAGTCTCAAAACAAAACTAAACTAAACTGCAAAGCATAGATTTAATTTATCCAATATATTTATTTTGGAAAGCCACTGCTGTTTGGGAACAAAAGATGCTCACCCTCTCAGTATTATTTTTTTATAGCACGCTACTCAAAATGATTCCTATTCAGCAACTGCTCTGATTTGCTCCAATGCTGAGCTAAGAGTCACCTCAGACACTGACTCAGTGAGGCAGGGATTGGCTTTATTCGGCGCCGGGTACATGGGGGTCGCTCCTCCTAACACACACACTCAGCACTTTACACAGCACAGTTTATCGTTCAATTTCATGCATATTCATTACATTCCTTGGGATAGGACTGGTTATACAAGTTACTTCTTGAAAGTCATTCATATCACTAGCATAGCTGACTCGCCCATGCAGTGTCCTGTGGTGATTGCTCTGAGGAAGTCTGCGAGTCTTCCACAGGGGTCATTCCGATGAAGGCTGGCAGTCTCCCTCACTTTGCACTTTTCACTTTTCTTTCTGAAGCATGAACAGTCCTTCATCAGCAGTTTCTGTGCCAGTTTCAACAGGTTCTGCTCCTCTTCTCTTCTTAAGGTGCATTCTGTTTATGTTGACAAGGCTAAGGTACATCCTGCTTCTTTGGCTTGTTACTAGTATTTGCTGACTCTTAATAGTTAATTCATGCTTACATGAGTAAACTATTGATCAACTCCTTTCAACTCCAGCAGCAAATAAACCCACAAGTCCATCAGAGACTAATCAAAATACAATAGAACCACCACTGAAAATGTAGCTTTGTTTCCTAGGAACTCCATAGATAAATAGATCCAAGGTTTCTTCACTTAAAAGCCTGGGTAAATCCAGGCTCATACTCACTGTTACAAATGAAATTGAAATTTAGTCAATTTAGGTCTATTGAGTTAACAGCAATTTAATAACAACAAGAACAAAAAAAAGATACAGTTTAGTGGGATTGAATACAAGAATACAATTTAATAAAAGAATATAATTTAGTGACTTGAATAGCAATTTGGTATAAAAGGACTACCATTTAGTAAAAGAATACAATTTAATAAATATATTCATGTATATATATATGTACATATACACACACATACATATATATATACACATACATATATAGACATATATATATGTGTGTGTGTGTACATATATATACACACACACACACACATATACATATATATATAGACACATATATGAATATAGCTTGCCAGTACTTAAGTATGATTAAAGCATAAGCAAAACCGACCGGGGTATGGAGAGGGCTTCCCGCCCTACCTCACGTACAAAACAAAGCAATTCAAACTAAA